GATGTCTTGAAGGTTATTTGAGATGCATAACTGGGAATAAGCCCAAGCAGTGGCCGAAGTGGTTGTCCTGGGCGGGCGGAATATTGGTACAATACCAATTATCATGCATCCCTAAAGAGCACTCCTTTCAAGGCCCTATATGGACGAAATCCACCTATATTAGTCAAAGGAGATACCAGCTTGACCCCTGTGGACGAAGTGTCCAAATTAACAGCTGAGCGAAATGAAATGTTGCAAGAATTGAAACATACTCCGTAATTTGGAAGTAGCTCAAAACCAGATGAAGCAACAAGCCAACAAGCATAGAAGCTGAGTCCTCGGTTTTGAAGTAGGAGATAGGGTATTCTTAAAAATACAGCCCTATAAACTAAAAAGTTTGGCTAAACGAATAAATCAGAAGCTGAGTCCTCAGTTTTATGGTCCATTTGAAGTGGTTGAAGTGATTAATCCGGTGGCCTATAAATTGAAGTTACCGGAAGGTTGTGCAGTTCATCCGGTGTTTCATATATCACTTTTGAAAAAAACAGTTAACCCAGATATACCTTGCCAACCACTGCCTTCTTGCATCTCAGAAGAATGGGAGTTACAATCCCAGCCAGAAGAAGTAATCGATTTCAGAGTTTCAGCAGCAGGAACTCGAGAGGTGCTGGTTCACTGATAGGAATCAGGCCCATTAGACTAAGAATAGAAATAATAACAACAATAAATGTAAAGACAGTATAAATAGCTTGGAAAGGGGAGTTAGTAGTAGGCTTTTGGACTCTTTGTCTTGGGACTTGGGAAGACTGAGACTAATAATCTCTTTCTTGGGAGCTTCGGCTTTGGGGGCTTCTGCCTTTGTACAGATTACTGTTCATCTTCTTGGATTCAATAAGGTTTTTCCATTGTGTTTCTTATTCATCTTTCTGTAATTGTTCTGGATTCCTGGAGGTTCTTAACATTGGTATCAGAGCACGTTGATTCTGTGGATGGAAGTGACGCCTTTGAAGATGGATTTATGGATGAACGAACTGGAGGAGAACCAAAAGAGATTGAAGGAAACATTCGAGAGGAATCAACAACGAAATCAACAACAGATGAAGGAGATGCTTAAGACGATGCAGGCAACGATCGCGAAATTGGCGGAGCAACATCAAAGTCGTTCGCGAAGTGGATCGCATGCCTCCTCTGCTTCGCATCGCTCCTCGCACAGTACCTCACACCATAGTCATCGTTCGTCGCTATCGCGCACAGGTTCGCAGTCAGAGTCGCGAACTACTTCCCATGGCTCGCAATCGCGAACTTCAGGTTACTGTTCACAGTCGCGAAACAGATCACATATGTCGCACACTTTGCACCATTCAAATCCTTCTTCGTATAGCTCTTCGCAAAGTTCTTCGCAGGCAGATTCGCGAAAGGTTTCTTCGCAGAGTTATTTCCCTCCCACTCAGAGTTCGCCTCCTTCGTCTAAAGTCTCTTCTCGGAATTCAGCTAGGTCAAAGACGGAGGAATTACCTCTATTCCATGAGGTTGAAGTGTACGCATGGATAGAGAGGATGGAAAGATATTTCCGAGTCCAAGCTATTGCAGAAAGATTTAAAGTGGACCTTGCAGCAAAGGCAATGGGGGAAGCCAGAGGCGGCCATAGGGGGAGTTGGGCCAGGCAATGCCGTGGGCCTCTCATGCCAAGGGGGCCCCAAAAAATTAAAAAATACCTATTAATCCCCTATTATGTATGTATAATAATAATAATAGAAACAATAAATCAGTTTTCTGGAATCTGGATGATTTGCCGACTCTGAAATTACGCATACCGGCATACGGCTCCAACTCTGGAATCTGGACGATTTGCCGAAGACTTGAAACTCTTGAGGAAAAAGAAATCCTTTGCTGGTCTGCTGCTGCTGGCCGCTGGGTCAGTGGGTCTGTGTGTGGTCGCCGCCTGCCTCCAATAATCCTCCGTGAGTAAGGTGAGTTTGCTCTCCTATTTCTCTAATTTATATCCTAACTCCTAAGTAATATAATGATTAATGAAATACATATACTATACGTCTATAATCTGATCTCTAAAGCATAAATGATGGCATAAATGTATTACGGTATGCCCTATTGGATATTTATGATTTGCCGGATATTTGTATGTATTGCCGAAGATATGTGTATTTCCCAAATTTCCGGTGCAAAATGTATTACGGTATGCCCCAAAAGCATAAATGATTTGCCCTATTGGATATTTATATGTATTGCCGATTTGCCCTATTGAATATTAGTGTATTACGGTATTGGGTATTTAGATGAATAAGATGATATTTGATAAATAGTAAAATACATTACACATGAAATAATTAATTTCATGATAATAGTAGTAGCAAAGTAGCTATTTGTTTAATTTGTCACTGTATTTAGAAGAATAGAGGTTTTAGGTTTTTTGTTAATTAATTTGTGGCTTAGCTATTTTATCGATTGAAAAAAAGTGTTAGCTACTCTTGAATTGATTGTAGTATTTTTATTACTGATTTTGCACTTTCAAAAGTCAAGAAGAATAGGCCAATAGGGTGTTACACGTACAAGTTTGTGATGTATTTTGCAAATGTTTGTACTATTGTCTTTAAAACTGATCCTTTTAGATATTAAAAATATTATATCGTACACTTTGAATACGTTTTTTCTATATGCTGTTTTTTAATTTAATTTATCTCTTTTCAATATGTTATTTTGCGGCTTAAGCTTTTTTCTGTCTAGGGCCTCCGAAATGCTGAAGACGTCTCTGGGGGAAGCTGCAGATGGCTGGTTTCAATGGTGGGATTTTCAAAAGAGAGAAGATAGTTGGGAGGCTTTAAAGGAAGATTTGATCAGGGATTTTCCACCTAGATACCGGCAGAAGACATGGAAGACAGCAAAACCAGAGTCATCGAGGTCTTTGCATATCTCTTCGCATAGCTCTTCTCATAGCTCTTCGCATCAACATTCAAAAAAATTGTTGCAAGTAGGAGCTCTCACCTCGCAATCGCCAGTTCTGTCAAAAGTTAATTCTCAATCTGCACAAGATTTTTCCCAGTCAATAAAGAAGATTATGATGGAGACAAATGAATCTGTAATCAAGAAAGTGAATAAGAGAGATGAAATCAAGGAGAAAAGACCAGTTAGTCCATGGCCAGATTATGTTTCTTTTAATCTTGCAGAGGATGTGGATTTAAATTCCAGCCAAGTTTCGGTTACTGACAAGCTTATCCAACCATGTTCCTTTGAAACTAGAGTTCTAAGGATTTCAGAAACTAGTACAGAGGCTCAGGAGGAGGAGGTTGAGACCTTTTCAGGAGAATCTGCTATTATATGGGGAAACCACTCACAGATTCAGGTTGATGACAAACCAGGGGTTGAGAGCATGTTAGGCTACTCCCAGCTTGTCTTACATGATTCATTTAAAGCACCTGGAAATTATCTCATGTTGGAAGACATCTCTACAAAGACAGCTCTATTCTTTCCTGATGTTTTTGAATTCATCACAAGGATAATACAGAGAATGACCCTTAAGAACTACCAGCTAGCTCTAGGCGAAGTTGTGGATACATCAAAATTATCAAAGAATCTCTATGGTGATCCGTTCCATTCTATGGCAAGATTTTCTGGAATGCCAGGAATTGTTATTTCTTCTGAATTTGCATTGGAGCTTCCTGATTTTCAGCTGATGGGTGCATTATACAAAGAAACAAAGCCTAATCTTAAAGTTGACAGCAAGGTGTGCAGTATAATGGAACAAATGTTACTTCGGGGTCATGATGGGGGAATACAATTGGAGATTGTTGAAGACTTGAAGTCTTAAACTCAGAAAGAGAAATACAGCATGACTCAAGTTCTCTTAAACTTTCTTCTGACCTGAGTGAGGATGAAGTTTGGTATGAGCTATTCAGTGTGAAGTCTCACTCAAGAGATAGGATGAAATCAGAGGCAAATACTGTGCTAAGGCTGATCAAGAATTTTCCATCTAGAAGACTAGAAGTATGGGAACTGCTGCTACCGCCATCAGCAAGGTACTGGGAAGGGAGAGGAACCCGGAGGAAGCTGAATTCCAAGCTTGGTTTCTATCTCCCCACCTTGAGGACAAGGTGGATGTTTAGGGGGGGAGTATTGATAGGAATCAGGCCCATTAGACTAAGAATAGAAATAATAACAACAATAAATGTAAAGACAGTATAAATAGCTTGGAAAGGGGAGTTAGTAGTAGGCTTTTGGACTCTTTGTCTTGGGACTTGAGAAGACTGAGACTAATAATCTCTTTCTTGGGAGCTTCGGCTTTGGGGGCTTCTGCCTTTGTACAGATTACTGTTCATCTTCTTGGATTCAATAAGGTTTTTCCATTGTGTTTCTTATTCATCTTTCTGTAATTGTTCTGGAAAGACCTACCACAGTTTGAAGATTCATGGGAAGATTGGGAGTTGCTGAAAAAAAATATTCCTGAGCTACACCTTGAGGACAAGGTGTTTTTAAAGGGGGGGGGGGGGGGGGGTGATGATACGAGCACTACCTTATTTAACATAAATCCCAATAGGGATTTTTCAAAAGTTTATAAAAGGAGGGGCAAGAAGGTAAATAATCAGAGAAAGGAAGCGGAGGCAGAAAATAACGGACTAGAGGAAGGGGAATAGTCTGCAGAGGGTGAAGAAACGAATAAAAGCAAACGGAAGCGGAAGGGGAAAGGCACTGGGAAGTTGTTCGGAACTGGGGAGCGAGATCCTCTCGAAGGATCTCATTTTTACTTTCTGCTATTTTGTTCCTTTATAGTTTTTGTTCCCAGACTCTGTTCTTGAGTTTTCTCAATAAAGACAATAATATTAAGTTGGAGTGTGTTGTGACAGTTTGTTGGTGAGAGACCTTATCATACACACTCATCTTGTATGTCTATATGCGCCTCCTCCGCATGTGGAGAAGGATACGTTGGCATCATAATTACTTTCTCACTCAAAATTTGTGTTCTCTCTCTCGCTACCTGATCTCCTAGTAGACATTAGAGTGTATCTTACTTGTAAGTATGTTATACCCCTACGAAGATCACCCTGTGAGATAGTACTGAGGGTTGAAAGAGCCTGCAATTAGAGCAAAGACACGCAAGGTTTTAAAAAAACAAGATATTTCTCAAACCATATGAAGACTAAAGTGGGTAAAAATATACATCAACCAGAGAGAGAAAAATCATGCTAAAACCCCATCAATAATTTATCCACACCTCTGAGTCCAAGTTAAGACCTTCCTCTTTGCAGATGTGTAGGATTCGACTACTCATAATATCTTCTGTCAGTGGTCTGAATCTAAACTTGGCACATCTAGAAGCAAGTGGCTCGATAATCCTACAAAGTAAAAACCACACAGATAATCAAACATGCAAAGAATTATGATTACTTGCATAACAAAAAACAGTTAATTATTAAAAACAAAAATCTAATAAGCAAATTGAGCCTACTTGAACACAACAAAGTTGTGTATATAATATCATAGTCCATATATTATATTATTAATATATCATCAACTTAGGAAGTGAAGACGTGGTATGATTAGCTTAGCAAAACTCCCTATAATGGATGCAAAGACAGCAACCCAATAGACTAGGAAGTAGTGAATAGTGATTGTCAACACGATTATTTGGTAGCCCGTGTATATCCAAATTAGTGAAGTAGCCATTCCCATATCTAAGCTTCACAGTTAAAAAAATGAAATCATGCAAGAAAACAACAAACTTTTCAAAACTAGATGAGAGAGGAAGACCATGCACAACTAAGAATTCAGTTAAAGGGGCAAAGGGAAAGGGTGGGAGAGGAAAACTGAATGGAAACCAAAACATTTAAAGAAAGACTTTCAACAAGCTAACCTGCTGATGTAATTACAGATAAAGAAAAATCTTGTGACTTTGGAGTATGTTTCCATTGTTCGTCGCAAAGCATTCTGAAAAAGCGCATGTGTATAACCTATCAAAGTTTAACCGTGAGTAGATGTTTAAAAAAACAGACTCACCTGAGCATCTTCAGTCATTGAATCTGCTTCATCAAGGATTATGATTTTGAAAGGTGGGCAAGGATAACCACTAGAAAAAACAGACAAGATATCAGATATTTTAGCAGACAAAGAAGTAACAGTTACATTAAAGAAAGGAAGGGCAAATTTTAGGAGCAGAAACTGTAATGGACTTGAGAAGACTGGTACCTTTTGTGTCCAGAACCAACAGCAACAGCAGCAAAATTTTTTATCTTTGTGCGAACAACATTTATACCACGGTCATCACTAGCATTAAGTTCCAACACCCTTGACTTGTACATTTCAGGTCTACCAATGTAAACAATGCTACCAATCACACACCCATGTTTTAGCAATGCATGCTCAAAATGCGCTCGATAACCAAAGAGTTAAAAAATGACTCTCGAATGGAGCAAAACAAAAACATGACTTTGTTCTCTAAAGTAAAAAAGCAATGTTGGCATGCAGGCACAAGTAGTCAAAGCTTATCTTGTATTTTATGACTCCATTATTGAATATTACATGCCAAATAAGATCATTTACAAATGCTTACAGTCGTTTCAGTACATAGCTAGAACACTCTGTTGAGATTTGATATGATTTCCTTCCTGATTTTAGTATTTATTGTACAGATTGTATCAAATCAGGAATTAAATACTTATTGATGTGCATATGATTCTTTCCTTGTAATTATTTGCCTTATAAATAAAGACTTGCTGAGAGTAGTTTCTCAAGCAATTTCATTCAAATCAGTAAATTCAAGTTGGTATCAGAGCCTGGTCCTCACTTTCCCTAGTCGTCCCTGCAGCCAACCTTCATCGAGACTGGTCTGCCGGCACTAGGAATAGAAGTCCTAGTCATTCCAGATTGTTCCCAAGTCAGTATACGTCATATCTCCTGCAAGCAGCACGACTCCTGACTCTTCCATCATATGCTTACAGTCCTGCAGTCTTGTGTCCTTTGTCTTTTCTGGGAATCCCCAAATAACTTCTGAAAAACTTAACGGCAGAAACTACATGGATTGGCAAGTTTCTGTTGAAATGTTGTTCTTAGGCCAAGGTTTGTCCGAACATTTGACCAAAAGAGCCGATGAGATAACTGCATCTGAAAGGGAAAAATGGACTCAAGCCGACCATCAATTGGTTGTTATTCTGTGGCAGTCCATTGATCCCAAACTGTTGATCCACTTCCGCACATACAAGACGTGTTATGACATATGGAAGAAAGCTCGAAGTGTGTTCGCGAATGATGTCCAACGGATTTATGACGTTGTTCATAGCCTTGCAACACTCCAAATGTCCGACCATGACCTTCCATCATATGTGAATAAGGCACAATCCATTCTTGAAGAGGTTAAGGTGATGTTGAGCGAAACTGATCTCCCTAAAGTGTTTGATAAAATTGATAAAATGTGTATGGTGTTTGTTTTCCATGGACTTCATAGGGATTTTGATTCCGTGCGAAACCAGATCCTAACGAATCCAAACATTCCCACGGCTGAAGACCTTATTGGTCGACTGTTGAGAGTTCCTGCACCAAGTGGAATTGAAAGTGTTGGTCCTCACGTTGATTCAGAGTTCTCGGCTCTTGTCTCTCGTTCTAGCTATGGCGGTCGTGGTCGTGGTCGTGATAGAGGAGGACGTGGCACTGGTGGTCGACCTAAGTGTAGTCATTGTCAGCGCATGGGTCATACCAAAGATAAATGCTATGAAATTATTGGTTGGCCTGACAAGTCTGTTAATGTAATGCACTCCGAACCGGTGAAACTTGGGGAAGCAACTAAAAGTGCCCTGAATGTTCTATCAGATGATGAATATAAAGAGTATCTACAACTTAAGGCAGCTCAGCATTCCTCAACAGCAGTCAACTTTACCGGTAACTCTACAGCTTGTCTTTCTCAATCAGGACCCGCCAAATCTTGGATCATAGATTCTGGTGCCTCTGATCACATTGCCGGTAATCCTTCTTTTTTCTCAATGTTATCTCACCTAAATCAGCGCACCATGTCACCCTTGCTGATGGTTCAAAAGTTAAAGTCATTGGCGTTGGACAGGCCACACTTCATCCTTCTTTATCTCTTAATTCTATTCTTCTTATCCCTGGTTGTCCTTTCAACTTGGTTTCTGTCAGTCAACTTACACGTCATCATAATTGTGTTGTCACCTTTATTGATGACTCTTTTTCTGTACAGGACCGGAGTACGGGACAGATGATTGGAGCAGGATTTGAATCTCAGGGTCTATACTACTTTCAGACTTCCTCTTCAGTTGCTTGCACTGCTATGGAGTCTCCTTCTTTGTTTCACCAACGTTTAGGTCATCCTAGTCTCAATAAACTGAGGAGAATGGTACCTCAAGTTTCCAATTTACAGTCCTGAGCCTGTGAGTCGTGTCAAATTGGTAAACATGTTAGAACCACTTTCCCAAAAAGTCATAGTCATGCAGAATCTCCCTTTTATCTTGTTCACTCAGATGTTTGGGGTCCAAGTCGTGTCAGTTCTGTTTTAGGATTTCGGTACTTTGTTATCTTTGTTGATGATTTTTCAAGATGTACGTGGCTTTATTTAATGAAAGAACGTTCAGAGTTATTTGGCATTTTCAAAAGTTTCTGCAATGAAATAAAAAATCAGTTTGATCATACCATTCGTGTTCTACGTAGTGATAATGCCAAGGAATATTTCTGAACAAATTTCAATGAATATATGGCTACTCAAGGGATAATTCATCAATCCACATGTCCCCACACGCCTCAACAAAATGGGATTGCCGAAAGAAACATCGTCATATCATTGAAATAGCACGCACACTACTGGTTCATGCCAATGCCCCACTAAAATTCTGGGGAGATGTTGTTCTCACGGCTGTTCATTTAATCAATCGAATGCCATCTTCTACATTGGATAACAAAGTACCACACTCTATCTTGTTCCCAAAGGACCCCATTTTCCTAGTTCCTCCCAAAGTCTTTGGTTGTACTTGTTTCGTACAGGATCTTTCCCCTGGTCTTGACAAATTATCTCCACGAGCAATCAAGTGCATATTCCTTGGCTACTTTAGAGTCCAAAAAGGGTACCGTTGTTATTCACCTTCTACTCATTGTTTCTATACTTCTGCAGATGTCAATTTCTTTGAGGATCAACCGTATTTCACTTCACAAGTGGAAGTTGAATCTGTCTCTCAGGTCTTACCCATTCCTCATCTTACTCCATTGTCACCTCTCAGTCCTCCATTGTCCTCTGCCAAACCACTCATTACTTATCAGCGTCGACCGCGGTCTGCACCTAATGAGGATGTCACTAATACTGACCCTGCTGATTCACCTCCAGCTCCAGCTCCTTTACCTACTCCGGACCAACCCGAGGCACCTGCTCAACCTGATCTTCCAATTGCAATCGGAAAAGGTATACGTTCCACTCGAAACCTGCATCCTATTTACAACTGTCTAAGTTATCATCGTCTATCTCCTTTCCATTATGCTTTTGTGTCTTCCATCTCTTCTGTTTCCATTACTAAAACTGTCCAGGAAGCTCTTGCCCACCCAGGATGGCGCCAAGCTATGCATGATGAGATGGCTGCATTTGAAATCAATCGTACTTGGTCTCTTGTTCCCCTGCCCCATGGTAAATCTATTGTTGGTTACCGATGGGTGTTTACAATCAAAGTTGGTCCTAATGGACAAATTGACCGGCTGAAAGCGCGTTTGGTTGCTAAAGGGTTTACTCAAGCGTTTGGCTTGGATTATGGTGACACTTTTTCTCCGGTTGCAAAGATGGCTTATGTACGTTTGTTCTTATCTATGGCAGCTATGCGCAGCTGGCCCTTACATCAGTTGGACATAAAAAATGCATTTCTTCACGGTAATTTAAAAGAAGAAGTTTACATGGAGCAACCACCTGAGTTTGTTGCTCAGGGGGAGTGTAGATGTGTGTCGGTTGCATAAGGCCTTGTATGGTCTTAAACAGTCCCCACGAGCGTGGTTTGGCAGATTCAGTATGGCTCTCAAACAGTTTGGGATGATTCAATGCAAAGCAGACCACACCGTGTTTTATAAAAGATCTTTATCTAATCAATCCACTTACCTTGTTGTTTATGTTGATGATATTGTAATAACAGGGGATGATCATGATGGCATACAGAATCTTAAACTATACTTGTCCCAGCAATTTCAAACAAAAGATTTGGGAGGACTTCGTTACTTTCTTGGAATTGAGGTAGCTCAATCCAAAACTGGCATTGCCATATCCCAAAGAAAATATGCTCTTGATATTTTGAAGGAAACCAGGATGACAGATTGTAAGCTGATCGATACTCCAATTGATCCAAATGTTCGACTTTTGCCAGATCAGGGAGAGCCTATCTCCAATCCTGAAAGATATCGACGACTTGTGGGGAAGTTAAATTATCTCACTATGACCAGACCAGACATCTCCTTTGCCGTGAGCGTGGTTAGTCAGTTCCTCAATACGCCATGTGATAGTCATTGGGATGCAGTTGTTCGAATCCTAAGATACATCAAAGGTTCACCTGGAAGAGGACTGGTTTATGCGAACCGGGGTTATGACAATATTACTGCATATTCAGATGCGGATTGGGCCGGCTGTCCAAATGACAGGAGATCAACTTCAGGGTACTGTGTTCTCATTGGTGGAAACCTAATCTCTTGGAAGAGCAAGAAACAGAGTGTTGTCGCTAGATCAAGTGCCGAAGCAGAGTATCGAGCCATGGCTCTCACTACTTGCGCACTTATATGGCTGAAACAGTTATTGTCTGAGTTAAAGTTTTGCAAACTGAAGCCTATGAAACTAATCTGTGATAATCAGGCAGCTTTATACATCGCTTCTAACCCTGTCTTTCATGAACGAACAAAACATATAAAAATTGATTGCCATTTTATTCGTGAAAAAGTCATTTCTGGAGAAATCTTCACATCCTTTGTCAATTCAAATGATCAGTTAGCTGATTTTCTCACTAAGTCACTTCGAGGTCTGAGGATAAGATATATTTGTAACAAGCTTGATGCATATGATATCTACGCACCAGCTTGAGGGGGGAGTGTTGAGATTTGATATGATTTCCTTCCTGATTTTAGTATTTATTGTACAGATTGTATCAAATCAGGAATTATTTACTTATTGATGTGCATATGATTCTCTCCTTGTAATTATTTGCCTTATAAATAAAGACTTGCTGAGAGTAGTTTCTCAAGCAATTTCATTCAAATCAGTAAATTCAAGTCACTCTTTAGGGTTGTTTACTTTTTTCTATTAAGCCCTGTCTGGATTAAGACATCTGTTTAGGTTAAGCTGTCTGTCTAGAATCTAGATTAAGTAATACTCTCTCTGTCCCTTAAAACTTTGTCATATTTCCTTTTTAGAACGTCCCAAAAAACTTTAGCACGTTCCCTTTTAATCAATTATTTTGTGGTTTCTGTTATTTCTCTCTGCTCTGCACAAACCCCAATCACACAATTTTTACTTTATTATTCTCTGTGCCGGTAAATCATGGCAAAGTTTTAAGGGACGGAGTCACGGAGGTAGTATATGTATATGAGGCTGTTATTTTGTATGCTGAATAAACAGTCTGAATCGAGTACAATAATCAATTTAGTATTATTCTTAGATTATAATGTGAATGAAAAACTTCATTTATTAATATAAATCAATTCCACCAAATGCATTTAAGGCCCACCAAAGAACTTCTCGAGGTACCCTATCATATGCCTTTTCTAAGTCAATGAACACCAAATGCAGATCCTTTTTAGCGTCTCTATACTTTTCCACAACTTGTCTAAGAAGGTGAATGGCCTCAGTTGTTGAGCGTTCAGGCATAAAACCAAATTGATTCTCCAAAATTTTCACACTTTTACGTAGTCTTTGCTCAACCACTCGCTCCCAAAGTTTCATGGTGTGACTCATAAACTTAATCCCTCGATAGTTAGCACATTCTTGTACATTACCCTTATTTTTAAATAAGGGAATGAGAGTACTCTTCCGCCAACTCACTGCCATTCTGTTGTTTCTCCAAATCATGTTGAAGAAACGTGTTAGTCACTCGATGCCTTTCTCTCCCAAACTTCTCCAAGCCTCGATCGGTATGTCATCTGGGCCCACTGCTTTCTTCCGGCCCATTTTTCTCATAGCCTCTTTAACTTCTATAAGAAATAAGATGGGCTAAAATAACAGGCCCAATACAGAATAAAAAAGTCCAATATTTATTCTTTAGAAGAAGTAATGAATTCAGTGCAATCACAGGCACACATAAAACATCATACTACAATATGCAGAAACAGAGAGTACCCAAAAAGCTGATGAGCAATTGCCAAGGCAGTTGTGGTTTTTCCAGTGCCAGGCGGGCCATAAAACAGCATATGCGGACACTATACAAAGAAAAAACCGTGCAAAAATATACAGCCATAAACATACTAGCATATATCATAAACCCTAGTGGACAAGTAAAGAGCTTGAAATACGAGGCACAAATAAAAAACTGAAATTGCATACATTTGCAGTTTCGAGTGTGTTTGTAAGGACTCGAACAACCTCGTCTTGGTGGCTTACGTCCTTTACCTGCTTCGGCCGGCTGTAGAAGGTACGAGACAGACAAAGATGAGCACAATAAAATGTACAATATAAAGTGTCTGCGGTGGAAATTGAGATCGTTTAGACTATTGTTATGTATGGGATAGGAGAGAGGCAGAGAGTACTATTTCTCCACCCATGGCTGAGAGCTTTGCGCCATCCTTGTCTCTAACTACAACAATTTGGAAGTGCCAGTGTCTTTTTCTAGTTTAAACAGCTGCGGGTGTTTTGGAGTTTTTAAGAGGTACTCCTCTTTTCAGATATTAGATTTTTTGCACTATTCACATATTCTATTTTTATTATATTTTATTAATTAATGTATTATAATTTAAATTTTTAAAAAATATTGTTAAATTTTTCTCATTCTAAATTTTCAAAATGTTGGCAAACGTGAAATGTTGACTGTTGCAATTAAAACGGAACGGAGGAAATACTAGATTTACACCCTGCGTTAGCACGGAACAAAATTTAGGAAAAATTTATTTTATAATATATTTGTAAAATAATATGAAGTATATGATAGTTTCAAAATACTACGTATATAGAAGACATAAATATATTGAAAGAAAAGAAAGGATAATGCATATCAGATTTATGGAGTAGGTAATTTTAAAATAAATACAATGCATAAAAATATTGAAAGAAATGATGTTATTCAAAAACCAAATTACCAAAATATAAAAGTTAGGACTATCTTATACTCCATATTACAATCTGGAGTATTACAAAATATTAGTTATATAAAATATAAAATACTTACTATTATAGCAAATAGAATAATACACAATACAACATCAACATCAATGATTTCATTGATTAATTTATCATTTAAATTTGAAATAAATATTTAAGATCGGTTGAGTTAATATTTCTATAGCATAAGTGTGAAGTTGATAATAGTTGTTTTTCTTGATAGGTTAACATTAGAGAGATATCATTCAATTCTTATTAGGGCCACTGCATACAAAAACATAGTTGGATAACTTTATCTCTATAATTTTGCATTCATTTGTTTGGTTTCTGATCATTGTTCTAATAATAAAGGAAATCATATACTTTGTAAGAAGTCCTCACGTATAAAAGCATTAAATGAAAATGTCAATATAATTTGATTAAAAAACTCATTATATAGAATATGATAATCATGTACAGAGTGTTTCTTTTATCATCAAGTTTATAATCATAACATAATAAAATAAGGAGACATGGAGTGATGGGATAAGGGCTAAGATTATGTTTTTTAAACGATATGGAGTATAAGAATATATAAATATTTTATTTTCTAATCCCAACTTAGAATTGAGCACAATTCTAAGTTGCGATTGTTTCTACTTTGAAAAAATATTTTTTAAAGTGATTTTGGAAGAAGTGATTAATAGTAAAACTTGGTACTGTTTGAGAAAAAAGTGATTCTGAAAAAAGTAAAAGTTTGATAAAATAAGATTAGTAGTGGTTGATAAAATAAGTATTTTTTGTGTAATAGAAAAAGTGAAAAGCAGTTTAAAGCACACATCAACCCATTTTCAGCTTTTAGCTTTTAAGTGATTAATTTAAGCAGAAACTATCACTTAAAAACTCCAATTTCAATTTTTTAAAGTCAAAAGTTGAAAAGTGTTTTTTTTAATTTGTTGCAAACACTCCCTATAATTGTTGAGAAACACATATAAGTCATTGCTCATCTTTAGTTATTCCGCTCAAATGTACTAATTGGAATTCATCAAATTCTGATAAAAATAAAATTCATGGAGTATATGAAATAATAGTATTGTTACCATAGTTGTTACTGTTGGGTTAATGGCCCAACCAGGGTCGGCCCATCAACTCCAGGGGACGTACGTAGCCCATCATGACCAAGCTCCAGGGTCCAAGGGCCAGGGGACGTGCGTAGCCCAGCATGACCAAGCTTCCGGGCTCAGGGGCCAGGGGACGTGCATAGCTCAGCATGACCAAGCTCCAGGGTCCAAGGGCCAGGGGACGTGCGTAGCCCAGCATGACCAGGTGTAAGGAATATTTGTAATTAGATTTTGATGATGATATATTAATTAGGACTTTAGAGTACCCCTCTTTAGATTTATTGTATTAGAATTTTCCTTGTAAAGTTCCTCAGTATAATCGACTGGCAGAAGGCCTCCTGAGCAGAAGGTCTCCAGAGCAGAAGGCCTCCAGAACAGAAGACCTTTGTCTCTATGTTTCAGAACAAAAGACCTCAGGGTCTCTGTTAGCTTTTATTCAGACAGAAACCCTCCTGGCTCTCTGTTGGATATTCCTTCGACGGAAACCCTCAAGAGTCTCTGATAACTTTCTCCAACAGAAGTGCTCAAGACCTTCTCTGATCAACTCTCTGCCAAAGACACCAGAAGGCCTGACACTTAGAAGAATCTCACCCAGCCGGTAAATCAACTGAAAGATTCCTTCAACGGCTAGGAGTCTTGAACGGAAAAGCTACAGTACGCGCATTAAATGCACATCTAATGCCTCTCGTACTCTGTAGAGTAATTGCAGATGATTGGCCGCAATATCAGGATAGCTTTATCCCGAAATAGTAACCCGCCAACTTTGCTGGGTCCTACTGGTCAAGTCAACTGCTCGCTCATTTAATGCAGGTGTCCTCCTTCTCCTCCAACGGGAAGACAACCTCAGTATAAAAGATACACTTCGAAGAACAACCGGATAACTTTTCTACCACAGTGCGCATACAAAATATTCAAACGCTAAAAACGCAAAAAGCCTCCTTGAGATTAAATCTTCATTATCTTCTACAAGAGAAGGCAGACGTTGGAAAGCTTCCTACTTCCAACTCAAGCAAAGTTCTCATCGTTCTTCAACTCTTCAAACACCTCATATACAAACCTTTTGTAACGAAGCTAGTTGGAGGAACCCCTATTTTTAACAGAAACTCTTCTTTCACACGAAGGACGTCCAAGTACCTGGAGCAGTGAAGTGGTGATACTTCCGGGAAAGCTCGGTGAAACGACCAGTCTTAAGGAAGCAAGAAGTGCATCCAAGGAGACATCTACACTTGAAGAAGACGTGGAGAGCTTCTTAAGTGATAGGGCTAAGGCATTGTAAACGGTCATTTTTACAAGCTTAGTGGAACAGTGGACTAGAGGAACATGCTGTTCCTTGAACCACTATAAAAAGCTCTGGTGTCATTTACTTACTGCATTTTACTTATAGTTTTTATTTGAACTGTTTAACTCCAAAGACTTGGTATCTGTGTTCAGCAGAACTTGTCTTGTGAGTTAACAGAAGGCCTACTGCCTTTGCTTCTCTGAGGCTAAACTAACAGACCCCCCTACCAGAACCCCATCCGCTGCCAGTCTGTTCTGCCAACAGAACAGGCTATTCTGTTAAATCTGGTACTTAGCTTGAAAAAGTTAAAAACCAATACAGTCTATTCACCCCCCCCCCTCTAGACTGTATCCAGTTCAACCGGGACCAACAAGTGGTATCAGAGCCTCCTTGTTCTAATCATCTCTTAGGTTATTTGCTGAACAAAGATCCACTTGTTTTTCTGTTTACTTCATTTCTAATCTGATATAATGGATCACTCCCTTTCCAAGAATCTTATGTTCTCATATATCAAGTTTGATGACTGGAGGATCCGAATGAAGGCACATCTCTGTGCTCTGCATGATGAGATGTGGGAAGTACTTGACATTGGGCCCTTCACAAGCTTCCAGAAGGTCAACCCAGAGCATGCTATTGATAACACCAGACCTCAGACGATCAATAAGGCCAAATCTTAGTGGACGACTGAAGAAAGAAGGAAGTACAATCTGGACGACATTGCTAAAGACATTCTTTACAAGTCCATCGATGATAGGTACTTCAACAGGATAAAGAAGTGCAAGACTGCCAAGGAAATCTGGGATACTCTTGAGCTCATTGGAGCTGGTGATGAGCAAGAGAAGGACAACAAGCTGACAATAGCTAACAAGAAGTTTGATGACTTCAAGCTTCTTCCTGGTGAAATCATCTCCAAGATGTATGACAGGCTCCTCACTCTCACTGGAGATATCTCTGAGCTTGGAAAGGAACTTACCACCAAGGAGATCAACCTCAAGGTGTTGAGAGGACTGCCCTTAGCATGGAAGATGAAGGTGGTTGCTGTCCAAGCCAGCAAGGATGTGATGACTTATCCCACTGATAAGCTCATTTCAGATCTCAAAGCTCATGAGTTTGAAATGATTGAGACAAAGGTAAATGATTTTGACCCCTCAGTACTTTTATCTGACGAATATATGGCTGCTTTTGCTAGGAGGTTCAAGAAGTTTATGAAGAATCCCAAAGATGGAAGAAGTCCATCATTCAACAGAAAGCCCTTCCAGAAGGTCAAAGCAACAGAGAGCAGTGGTGAGCTTCTCTGCTACAACTGCAGACAACCTGGACATTTCAAGGCAGAGTGTCCACATCCAAGAGTATCCAAGAAATAAGGGCATGATGGAGAAAAGAAGAAGTATGAAGACAATTCCAGAAGAAGGAAAGCACTCGTGAAAGAACAGCTCGAGAAAGACCCTCTTTCTGAGACAGAATCCAGTTCTGACTCTGACTCTGATGAGGCCTTCTGTTGCCTTGATACTGAGACAGAAGACCTATGCCTCATGGCTCATTTTGATGATGAGGTAACCTCTACTTCTGCATCTAGTTTTTCTTCGGTAGGCTTAGCTTTTAATTCTGATTCAATGTCAGAATTTTGGGAAGAGTTTAAGGCCATCCAGCCACTTTTTCCTCTGTCACAGAAGAAAACAGTAAGCTGAAGGTTGAAATTCTTGACTTAAAAGGAGGTTGAGATCAAAATCAATCTTCTAATTAAGGAGAGAGATCAGCTGGAAACTAAAAATGTTTCTCTTCTTAAGAGAATAAGAGAAATTGAGCCTCTTGAGATTAAGTACAAAGTTTACCAGAAGGCCCAGTCTTCCATGGAAAAGATTTTACTTGATCAACAAATTGGCACTGGCTTTGGTCTTGGTTATGGCTCAACAGAATCAGGTGAGCCTTCTGTAATGCCTAGCACCTGTGTTGCTAAGGCAGATAAGGTCATAGTGCCACTGATCTCTAGCCCCATCTGCCAAGCTGGTGTATCTGGCACTAAGGTTGTTCATGAGGAAGTCAGACCAGAAAAAGGGAAGATAAAGGTTCAACAGAAACCCTTTGTGAAAAATAATGAACCTGGCAGAAAACCTAACAACAGAAAGGGTTTTCAGAATAACAAAAATAAAAGACCATTCA